CATAGGCAAACACTTTCCAAAGAACTGCAATGCAATTAAAAAAGGACTTTCATAATAGGGCAGATTGCAACAATATTCTCTGAAATGAGAACATTTATGCCAATAGCAATCTGTCTTGCCTGTAAGTTTCTATTACTCATATTATGGAAGAATTTTCTGTTTCAGTATGAGCATTTTTCTCCTTATTAGTCCAGCTTCTGCTGGATCTTACAGTTTTGCTCATTTGCTTGGCAAGCAAGTGATGCTGGAAATAAGCAAACACAGAAATGAGAATTCATTGCAAGTGTGAAAGATGTATAATGAGGGATTTGACACAAACAAGGGAAGAATTCTCAACTTCAATGCAAGTTTAAGGAAGCAAACATGAAAATTCATCACACTAAACTACTATTGTATGCCTCTGACAAAAAATAGCCTCCTCCCTCATTCAAAAGTTCTGCTGTTACCCTGATTTGACCCACATCTCTGTAACATCTTTGTCCCACATCCTTTTATCATGTTTCTGCCTCTAAAACAACCCTTTTCTGGCAAACACTCTCTTTGATTGATTGAATTAGTGTGTTGGGCGGACTGCTCCCCTGTCTTTGGGCTGCAATATGAACTCCATGCACCCTGCCTCTTCCCGTCTTTGTTCCCATTGTTCTAAGGTCTCCTTTGAGACTACTGAAATGTAAGATAATTCATTTTGGGGACCTCTGGCACAAAGCATTGTCCTTTGGGAAATTCAGAATCTTCCGCTCAGCCTCCTTCTTAAGGATACTTAGAAGAAGTAACTCCAATTGCCACAGAGTTAATCCAAATTAATCTGCTTCTCCCATGCTGATATCCTTTCAGGGTATCAGTTCTTATTTTCTCCTCCCCATATTCTGCTTTTCAAAGAACAATGGAACAAGAAACCAAAGGGACTGCAGCTGCAAGACTTGCAGATATGGACCACAGGACAGAACTGTTCCACAAGCAGATGGCTTGCTTGGATGCATTGCACCAGCAACCGTTGAACTGCAAGAATCCTGGTGATTTAACTGGGGATAATACAAATCCCTAATGATGATAAGGAGCAGCAGCAGACAGGAATCAGGGTCTTTGGTGTTACTTCTCAACAGATTAGAAGTTTCATGTTGGGAATCTGTACGTAGCAAGTCATCAGCTGTTACAGACACAAGTTGCCAAGGCAGCAACGGTTCCCGTAATTGTAGAAGGATTTCAGTAATTAGGTTTAGTACATGGTATTGGAAGAAAAGATGGTATCTGCAGGACCAACTTTTGTCAGCACAAATACAGACAAGCAGTAGATTAACAGAAAAGGCTTTATGGAAATGTAGGCTTTGGTGAACTAAGTTCCTGGATGTTCTTCTGGTAGAAGAAAAGATTATTGCTTGAACTTTTACACAAGTGCTAGATTTCCAAGGTGAGTAAAGCACTGAATTTTCTTTCTTGATGGGTTTTGTCCCACCATTGAAACATCAGTATACCTACAAATGTTTTTTTTCCTGGGCAACAACAAATTTTGATGTTTATAAGCCAAATGATAGCCTTCTTCCTAGACGCTCAGCGGATGGATATATCCCCTCCTGGAACACCTCAGAAACATCAACATAAAGAGTTATAACCTGGGGTGGCAGGTCCCTCTCACTAGACAGAGTAGTCAAACAAACTCAATTTCCTTACTATATTCTAAGAGTGTAAGACAGCCACATCTGAACCCAAAACACATTCTGATTTTTCCAAGTCTTTCTAAAGCTAAAGAAAGAAAAAAAAAAATCACACCTTCCTTTGATCATATTTATGGTTATGCATCCAGTCATAGTTTGAGAAGAAAAAGCATTGTTACTCCAGTTTCCTCCTCATTCTTCACTCCACTACCCTTTGACAAACACCTAACCCATTACAGTTATTATCTTACTAAATGTTGATGTCCTTCACTCAGGATATTTTGGGGGGGAAATATTTGGGTTTAGAACTACATAATTAAAGAGTTTCTAATTCGGTTTATAGGAAAAAGTTCTTCTTGCATATATAGGTCAATTTCAAGACCACGGTGCATGCTTTAGAAAATGTAAATCATAGCTTAGAATATTTTCTGGCTTCTGTACAACTGAATGTCAACAACTCCCTATGACCTTCAAAACAGCTCTGTAATACATACAATTTAAATAAACCAGTGACAAAAAAAATGTTTTACAACGAAAAAAGTCCAAATACATTCACTTAAGAATTATTCAAACAAAATACTTTACCAAGTTGGAGCCACTCTGAGAAGCATGGTGTCCAGTCTCTGAGCCGCACATGGGAGATTCAGGCACATGTGATTCATTTCCTGAATTCAACAGAAAAAAAGTGTCTCCAAGAAAACAGTCATCATGCTTAGGGTACAAACTGCTTCTGGCAAAGGGGTTAGGGTGACAACACCACTCTTCAACTAAAGCATTCCAGTTTTCACTCGGTAGAGGAAGAACTCTGAGAAGTTTCCTAAGAGGGAAGAAGAAAAAACATATTTCAATATATTATATTCTTTTCCAAGACACTAAAAGAGGGCTTAGACTCCTTACAAAAAGGGGGAGAAATATGGCATTTTCTCAAAAGGAAGTGCTTAACTCTGCTTTCAGTCAAAGGCACTTTCTTTGGATGAATTCTGAGAAAGCAATGGCTGAGTGTTTCCTGCCAAGTTTGTGATGCAGCACTTCCCAGGGGTGAATCTCCAATGATTATAAGGCAGAACTTGGCATAATCCTCTCTCGAAATGAATCACATGGCAAAAATAAAACAGTTCTATCCAGTCATGAAAAATATAACAATGGGCATTTTGCAATTATATTTATTATTACTTCTTGTGAAGTTCCCTTGTGCCAAATGTTGATATAAAACCAACAGAAACAGACTGCTGCCACAGCAAGGGAGAGCACGTCCTTTGAAGCCCCTCAAAGCCAGCTACCAGACTGTTGTGGTTTAACCTGGCAGGCAGCTAAACGTCACACAGCTGTTCGCTCACTCCCACCCCCAGTGGGATGGGGGAGAGAATCGGGGGAAAAAAAGAGTAAAATTTGCGGGTTGAGATAAAGACAGTTTAATAGGACAAAGGAAGGGATAATAATAATAATAATAATAATAATAATAATAATGATGAAAGAATATACAAAACAAGTGATGCACAATGCAATTGCTCACC